TACAGTAGGCTGCGCGACATCGCCGCGACCGCGCACGCTGCTCATGAGGAAGAACCCCTCTGTGGTTCGAAACTAGTAGAGCTTTTCTCAGTATATTCACGTGAGTAACCCGCGATTTTTAATTAATTTAGTATGTCTCACGATAGTTATTATAACATATTTTATTGTTGTTTACAGTAGACACTACAACTTACCCCCCAATGGGAAGAATTGACAGAATATATTCTTGAAAGCCTCTTCATCGACCACGCCTGAAGGACACTCCTGAAATGAAATGGACAATTCAGTTTCAGGCATACTTTGAAATAGATAAGCAAGTTAAGTTGCAGTCGTAGTGACATTCCCAACACTAGAGGAGTTGATGGCCTTTTAGGGATTTGAAATTTGGGTATTGTTGATTTAAGATTGGAGATTGGGATTGGAGATTGGAGATTGGAGATTGGAGATTGTATCTTGGGGATTGGGGACTGGATATTGTATCTTGGGGATTGGGGACCGGATATAGGAGATTGGGATTAGCAATTAGGATTATCCCCTACAATCCCAATTGCTAATCGAGATTGAGATTGGATGTGAGGATTGGAAATTTGAGATTGTATCTTGACTTTGAGATTTGGAACTGGATATTGAAAATTGAAATTGGAGATTGGGATTGAGATTGGGGATTAGAGATTGGGATTGTATATTAGGGATTGGAGATGGAACTTGGGATTAAAGATCGGGATTTGGGATTGATTTGGAATTGGAGGTTGAGATTGGGAATAGTGATTGGAATTGGTGATTGGGGATTGTTTCTTGGGATTAAGGACTAGAGATTGAAGATTGGGAATTGGGGATTCGGTATTAAGTATAGCGGATTTGGGTCGAAGTCTGAGCCTGCCCGGTAACGGTATTGCAATTACTATAGAGTCTTACCTGTTTGAACCCACGGTACATCAGTTTGATTTCGTGCGCGGTGAACCGGGTGGACTGCGCGAGTGTACCGGGCGGTTCCGGGCGGTGGCGCACCACGCCCGTCGGGAAGATAGATTCCTCGCACTCTTCCTCTGTGGACAAGAGAGGGGAGGCATTAGGAAATAGTTTTTTTGTTCCTCATATTCCATTGACATACGAAGTCGCAATGGTGATGAATGGTGCCAGTCTTCTGACAATGACTCGTGTAGTGACTATTGTCAACTGCCATAGAATTGTGGGGGTTTTTTTATGGCATACGCCGGTAAACGAGCAGACGGATCACCTGATGGTAAGCAATCGGCGTCGCCCATGGACACCTGGAACACTAGAGGCGTTACAAGTGCGTTACCGGCCTTTTGAGGATTATGAATTTTAAGATTATTAGGTTTTCTGCTGGGTCGTGGTATCACTCCGGTCGAGCCGGCCCATTCGTACCGAAACATGGCTAAATGCCCGTCAATAGAAGTGAGAATTGGCTTGTCTTAAAGTTCTTTTTACTAATTATCGTCGTCATCAAGCCTAGAAGTGTCTACTGCTGACCAAAGGCCTCTTCTCACACGGAGAAGGTTTGAGCATTACTCTACATCTCTACTTCAAATCGGCCTAATTTAGCGTAAAAACGTCTTCAATATCTATGCACAAACCACAGCAAAAACCTTCGTTCTTCTCATAACCGTCTTCTTCAATGTCCCACTCATCGCACTGGCTTCTTTAATTCTTCCTTTTTCGTGCAGGCAATTTTGCTGTGGAAAATTTTGAGTGAGGTTATACCCTCTCCCCAGTCCCTCTAATCGCCGAAACCCCTACAATCCTCAAATTCCGAATTCCAAAAAGGCCGGTAACGCACTTGTAACGCCTCTGGTGTTCCAGGTGTCCATGGGCGCCGATTTCTTAACACCAGGTGATCCGTCTGTTCGTTTACCGGCTTATCCCATAAGAAAGGCAGTTGAAAACGCTTTATCAATTACGATTTTTATCAGAAAATTGAATCGCTTTACGAACCAACGTAATAGGATCGATGATTATCATAATATTATTTATAACTAGCTTCTACAGCGACTTCGTACGCGCAATCACGTTTTCTCCCATTCCCGTAGGATTTTCAGATTTTTTTTCTATCATAAGAACTGCTCCTGACAATAACAAACAAAACAAAAAAAAAATCAGCCAAATCGGTCTAGCTGTTCTCAAGTTATGGCGTGACAATGGGAAACGGGTTTCATTTTTATATGTATATACTAGCGACCCGCCCCGGCTTCGCACGAGTGTAATATGCCTGTATTATACATATAAACCTTCCTTAAGATCTCTATCTCTCTACTCTGTCCATTAAAAAAAATGCATCAAAATCCGTTGCGTAATTTAAAAGATACATAGGGACAGACAGACGGCGGATAGCGACTTTGTTTTATACCATGTTGTGATATAGACTAGCTGTTGCCCGCGACTTCGTCCGCGTACAATATGAATTTTAGAAAAAATATCACGCTTTTCACCCCCGAAGGGGTAGACAGAGGTGCACATTACGACACTTACTGCCACTGTGCAATGTAACACCCATATTTCACTATTTATATTATGAGTCCCATGTAATAGAGGGTGAGCCTATTGCCATATACTGGGCACAAATCCAGACTCCGTGCTACTACTGAGAATTTTTTAAAAACCCAGTAATACTTTGCCGGACCCAGGAATCGAACCCGAGATCTCTTGCCCGGCAGTCGCACTTGCTACCACTCGACCAACGAGGCAGTCAAAATACTATAAAACATTATCTTTATATATATGTAGAAGACAATTCACCCATTGGGGGTACTTCGTCATCGGTTTCTTCGTAAACGCGGTAAGTTCGGTACGGGCTGGCAGAACAACCGCTCACCCTCGTGTCCAACTCAAAAGTGACGCCTTTCAAATGCCAACATGCAACGCCCCGTACCGACCATCACCCAAGCACACTGCTTGACGTTTCCGACAAATGATAACAGATGGCGTTGTTCTAAAATAACGATACTCGATAGCTGTGAGTGTGCATCTTTGTTGATTCTGCGTCATATATAATTCTGCTGTGCGTGTGTATGTCATTGAACTCCTCCTAAACGGCTTGACCGATATAAATGAATTTTTCTGTACGCGTTTGAGTGGCTCCCTGGATGGTTTAGATTCACAAATCAGCCCGGCAGATGGTGCTGCAGTCGATGTTAAGGTTATTTATCCTAAACAGCTGAACTAATTTGAATGAATTTTTGTTTATACATTCAAGTGGATATGCAGGACAACGTCTGTCGGCGTGATTGTTGTCAACACAGCAACAAAGAAACATCAAATACATGACAGCGTACCACACGCGGTAGTAGCAATATCGCGTCACACGCATGGTTGCATCTATTACACAGACAACAGTGAAGACGCGATAAGCAAACTAATCAGGAAGGCGGCTGATGAGGGTGAGCAAGGTATTAAGGACTACAACCTGAAAATGGCCATCAAACACAGGGACGCGGCAGTCGTGGGTGCTCTCTTGGGCGGGGAGTGTTGCTTGTGATGGAACGAATGCAACATGAGGAAATGTGTGTGCAGAAACATGTAGAAATAGAATATGACCAATTGAATTTTGGACTATTGTACGCTTTATTGGAATCGGCCCATGTGGCAAGGGTTGAGGCGTCATGCACACATAAATGTCCTACAGTCGGTGGCGCTGTGTGTTGGGTTGTTCCGTTCCCAATAAAAAGGTTGACCGGACCAATTGCTGACACACACGTCATACTCGTGAACGGGTGCCTTCTGCTGGGTCAGGTCGGCTCTCAAAAACAATAACGTTCAAAAGTCCATTAACAGCGTCTATACATGGAGACGAAATAAGAGCGTCACTCTTTTCAAGCATACAAAACAATGTATGAATGACATGTGGCGCCCTCTCGTGTTTAGGTAAGAAGCTCTATTTAGGTAACCTGAATAGACTAGCCTAAATGATTGACGTACCTAGACTAGCCTATTGTTCTCATGTAATCAGCTCATATAGTGTATTGTCCAGTTAACTGATGGTAGCGAGGTTGACTTGTCAACGACACACGTACTTAGGTATTGTCATGAGCTAATGTTCTCATGTAATCAGCTCATGTAGTGTATTGTCCAGTCAACTGATGGTAGCGAGATTGACTTGTCAGCGACACACGTACTTAGGTATCGTCATGAGCTAATGTTCACATCAATGACAGTCCACTGCTGCACTATGAGCTTCATAAGAGGGTTTGATATAATCTCCAAGCTTGGCAGACGAGCCTCGGAGGACTTAACAGGTTACCGGGGCTCCGGCTCGAAGTGCAGGAGTAAGAACGGGGTGGTTTTTAGTTAGTAAGAGCCTGACACTCCCTCTTGCATCACGCGGGCGGAAAAAGTCATTGGATTGATTTCCCCCTTCAAAAAGAAAGCCTAGGCAGACCAGTTGGTGATAGCAATTAAAAAAATGAAAGATGATCACCGAGCACTGGTATCCAGTCTATGTCGAATTTAAGTTACCAGTCTATGTCGTGGTGGCACGGAGGTTTAATACTATCGCTTTACATGCATGAGGATGCGGGCTCGAAACCTACCAACGGCTATATGTATTTTCTAAGATTATTTAGACACCACTGACTAAAGGAAAACATGACAGGAAGTCAGGAAGTCGCTCCTGCACTTCGAGCCGGAGCCACGACAAGCCGTTAAGTCTTCCGCGGCTCCGTATCGTCATCAGCCCTGTTGGGATCCGTCTGTGGAGGTCTGATGGGTCCTTGAGGTGCGCGCGGAACGCGATTCGCCGTACGCTCGGGCCTAGTTCTGGTCAGGCGGCGAGACACCCGTGCTCACCGTCCGCAGGCCCGTGCTTGCTTGAGATCGTCTCGCGATCCCCGACGCCCGGAGTGTCTCTCGCGACGCCCGGGGCGTGAGGAGATTCGTTCCCTCACGCGCTCTGCCTCCTCCTTAGCTGGTCTTATAATTTCTAATTATAAGTTTGTAATCGCCAACCCGCATTGAGCAAGCGTGGTGATTAATGCTCAAACCTCCGTGTGAGAAGAGGCCTTTGGTCAGCAGTGGGCACTTATAGGCTGTTGATGTTATGTGTGTGGGGCGACGATACCCGCGGGAAGAGCAGGGATGGAGACAAATGTATTAGCCAATTAGGTTAGTCATTAATATTCGTTAGTATACTAAAAGCATTTGAAAATAATTACATAAATCAGTTGTAAGTGTAAGTTACCGCATATTTATTCAGGGATAAATCTTTCAGTTTCAGTGCGAGCGCAGAATAACAAATATTTCAACTTATTGAGCCGTGACATTTATAGTATTTTAGCTAATGTTTATTTATAGCTGCATTTATTTCATTTACGCTTAATTAGGCCGATTTGAAGGCAGAGTAGAATACGTTTGTTATCGTGTCACCATTCCTGCTCTTTCCGCGGGTGTCGTATACCCGAGTGAGAGCATATTTGTCTGAGATGCGACAGCAGTGACCACTGATAAACCTGCACATTTTATACTGCTATCTCCAACTTGTTAACCAAGTGTAGCAATTTTTTGGGACTACTCCCCCACAAGCTCCCAAAACCGCTGCAACTCCTATGCACCAGGATCTATAGTACCTCTAGATATAACCATTCAAATATCGGAACACTGAAGTCCAATACCTCAGGGACATGAACAACTGTCTTTTTTCAGTTAGCAGACAGATCACCTGATGGTAAGCAATCAGCGTCGCCCTGGACACCTGGAACACCAGGGGTGTTACAAGTGCGTTACTGGCCTTTTGGGGAATAGGAATTTAAGAATTGTTGGAGATTCAGGGATTTGGGAGATTGAGGAGGGGACGGGAGTAATTGGGCGACCGGTAACAACACTCATATGACGAAACACAACGCAAGCGTTGCTTCACGTCGGTTTTCTGTAAAGCCGTGGTATCACTCCGGTCGAGCGTAGCGGAGCGAAGCACGGATGAATGGACCGGCCATTCGTGCTTCGGCTCTCCCATATTTAAAATATCTTGTATTGAGCAACGAAATAAATCAGAAGATATTATTAGAGGAGAAAAAAACTATAGGTACTTTCCTCT